CCATCTCTAAAAAGTGCTTGATTCAGGAAAACCCAAAACTTTACAAAACAAAAAATGAAACAAAACCAAAAAGCCCCCTCCAACTTGCCACACAGGAAATGGATGCATGAATTGTTGTTAACAGCTCCTGGGCACACGTAGTCCAAACATGTCAGCAGAGGCTCCCTCGGACACTAGTGAGATCTTGACTTCTTCCTGCTGCCCTGGTGTCTTCATACTCTGCCAGGCAGCCTTGAATTCTTACTTTTTTCATCCCTTCTCACACTCATTTTACCCCTGTACATCCAGGGCTAATTTCCCAGAGGCAAGGCCTGTTCCAGGTGCATATTCTCAAACTTGAGCTGCATCTCAATCAGCTGTTCAAACTCAGGTCACTGGGCTCCATCCCAAGACTTTCTGCTTCACTAGGTCCAGGGCAGAAAACATACATGTCTAACAAGCTGCTCATGAACCCTGCTGCTGGTGGTCCAGGGACCGCACTTTGAGAACCAGTGGGTTAGGCCAACCTGTTCAACTAAGAGACTTACGTGAGCACAGGTGAGTTGTCATGTTGTAGGAAAAAATATCCTGGACTTAAAGACACCAGGAAGAGCCAAGCTTCACCTCGAATCAGACTACCACCAGGCTACATTTACTTGGGTGAGTCCCTGGAGCCAGGGGTTCTCAAACCTGACCATGCTTTAGGTCTTAATAAAGGTGATGCCAGACCCCACCCAAAAGCAGTTGAATCAAAGTGTCCAGGCATGGCCCCAGGGCACCGGTGAGCTATAAAAACTCCTCGGCTGACTCTGCTATGCTTTAACCTCTTCCAGCCTCAGCTTCTTACTCTGAACAATGGGTATCATCATTTTTACTTTACAGGACCATTGAGAGGAATAAACACAAATAAATATGAAAACCTCTTCAAAAATGACAAAGTGCAAGTCAAAGGTTAGGGGTCGCTTTCCCTTGCAGAAGACATATTTAAATTTAATAGAGATTACTGATACCTCTTCATATCCAAGTCAGGACAGAGATTTCTGGCACAGGTACAGCTGTGGGGGAAATTTGGAAGGTAGAAAAGCATTTGAACATATTCACCCTATTCCACCAACATGCACATCTTTACTTGTTTCTTCATATAAAAGCTCTTCATATTTTCCATCCAGTCTAAGAAAGAAAGTTCTGTTACCCCTGATGGCTATCCAGTGACTTGGTGACCCTAATCTACTCTAAGTCAGGAGTCGGCAACCTTTTTCTGTAAAGAGCCAGATAGTAAATATTTTAGGCTTTGCAGGCTAGGCAGTCTCTATTGCAGCTGCTGAATTCTGCCACTGTAGCTCAGAATGAGCCACAGACAATTCGGCAACAAATGGGCATGGCCATGTGCAAACAAAACTTTATTTACAAAGATGGGTGGGTGGCAGACTGGGTTTGGTCCACATGCTGTAGTTTGCCAAGCATGGCTCCAAACTTTCAATAAAGACACAAAAATGTTCAGAGTCAACTCAGGAAACCAGCTGAGAATCTTTCTAATGAGATAGAACAAGCAAAGACCACCCAGGAAGGGGGACAGGGCAGATCATGCAGCCAGCTGAACCGGGAGCATGCACTTCAAAATCCCCAGTTGGTGTGAGATCTGTGCCCAGGTAAGATAACTGTGATCTTTCTGGGAGCCCTGTTACATTCTCAAAAAGAGGCAAATGTCCCCTCTTCTGTAAATTGCTGCTTTCTGCTTAAAGGGGGTGGGGTACACTCTTCCCCAGCCACCCAGAAACACTAAAGCCTGCCCCCAGGCCTTATACTTCTCACCCTGTCTTTGCCTACCACCAAGGAGTTTCCCCTAGCTTTATGAAAAACTCACCAAAACTCCTGAACCCTCCCATTCCTGGCCCCATAGCACGGATTCCCAGGGGCTGGCCTTTGGAACCCCAGTCCAATGAAATGAAACTTACCAATTCAGTTAGCCACAAAGTGCACTCTTTTCTTCAGACACCTAGCAGCATCCTGAAGAAACACTGCCTCCTCAAAGCACTTTGGGAAGTCCATCCCCACCATGTGGTGATCTGGTGGCCCTCCCCACTCTGTAATAACTACCTGAGACTCCTGCCCTATGGAGTAATTGGGCACTGGGCAACATCCTGAAGAAAATTCCTTGGTCATGTAAACCACCCATAGCCATTCCTGGAAAGGATCTTGTTTTTCTGGGGACAGGCTGGGTTTGAGAAATGCCTGAAAAGGAAACCTGTTCATCAAAAGGAAGCCAGCACCAATTTCCACTTGGGTTAGCATTGGCTGGAAACAGGTGGAAGCCCTAAGAGTGGGTGAGAGTGTGTGATATAAACATGGAGCCCTGCAGAAGGCAGGAATGTTCTACCACCAGCAAGTGTCTGCTGGACGCAACCTATCAGGCACTTTGCAGGACAAGAATATATGTATATGATTTCAATGCTCTCACAGACTCTGTTTGGACTGAGGACGAGTGTTTAATCCTTGACATATGTGTTCCACAACAAGCCCTGGAATTACATAGAAATTGCTCCCTTCATTCTGTGAGCCAAACCCTGAGTTTGGGGGTTTGGAAATCCCCACAAGGTGCTCTTTGCTATTGCTCATTCGGAAAGAAAAAAGCATTTATTTAATGAAATGCAATTGTTCAGAAACTGCCAAAAATAGATGCTCCCTATCTGCCTTCACAGATGGTAGCCTCTTTCTAGCCAATTAACTACTGATGAACTGGGGAAGAGCTATAGCAACAGGCATGACAGGCTCCCCTGTGCTCAGCCGGCCTGATTGTCCTGGGGAGACACAGAAGTTTCTGGTCCTGTCTCAAGTCATGAAACCTCAGGAAGAAACCTGCCCAACCCCAACATTTCTGTGCAACACCATTCTGGTTCACTATAACTAGGCTCCCAGAATTAAACCTGATGGGTTGTCACCTTTCAGACAAATTCTGTTCATTTATTCTCCCTCTCTGGTTTTTAACTACATTGTGATGAATGGAAATATCCAAGGCCCGCAAAAGGCTGGTTTTCCATGACTTTTACTAATGAGATTTATTTCTACATTAACACCATGCTGGTGAGATTTTTCTGTCTGGAAGTGTAGTGGGTATTGGGCTTTACATTGTCTGAAAATTAGCAAGTTATACACAGTCTTGTGTTTCATGAACTCTCGCTCCAAATTTTAAGCTAATCAAGAGCTCAATATTTATACATATTTATGTGTTTTTGCCCCCCAAGCCAATACAAAGCTACAGAGAAATGGAATTTCCTACCAAGTGGTTTCTTTTTTAATGATTTCCCATTAATTTGGAGTCTGAAAGAATTTTTTTGACATCCCTTAAGTGATCTGAGGTTTAGCTTGTTTTGTTTCATTTTGGTTTTTGAAAAAAATGACCTCAGAAAGAGTTGGAAACACAGGCAACTGGTTAGCCCAATCTGTGTTTACTTGTAGGGGTGTTGTAATTAAACTAAAGTGTAATGTGTCCTTTAAGGACATAAAGTTAATTAATTAACAATTAAAGCTACTGGGAGGGCTTCATAACAGGAAATGATAATATCTACCATTTGTGTGGTCTATTCCAAGCCAAGTGCTTTACAATAATTAAATCACTTAATTCTCACAGGTACGTCACTGGTCAAGAACAGTAAGTAGTTGAGTCTACAGAGTTGGGGAAACCCAGGCTCAGAGAGGTTCAATCCCTTTAACAACCTCACATAGCTAAGAGGCAATGGAGCTGGAATCAAGTGCAATCGTCTAAGTCAGTATAACTCTCTGAAAGTTCAATACAGTATTGAAAGTTGGTTAGAATGCTGGTTGTTTGGTCTTAGGATGCCATTAGGCCACAGAAGTTTCCAGACATGGCTTTAATACCACTGATATACCAATGACTTGATTTATGTCTCCAACCCTAATGATTCCCCTGAACTCTGCACTTGAGTGTCCAACTAGTATCTCCAATGGAACACTTCCAAAATAGAGGTGTTTGCCTAGTCTAGCCTATCTCAGTAAATGGCAAATTCATTGTACCATTTTATATCCAATCCACCAGCAAATCTGTTGACTCTATCTTAAAAATATATATGGAATTCAAGAACCCTGGGGAAAGCCTCCAACATAATCCACATACTGGCAATAGCCTCCCAGCTTCTAGTGTTGTTTTACGACATCCTAAATGGTTCATGTACAATGCAAGTCAAATCATGTCATCCTTCTGAATTCTATGTCTTTACCTGGCCCTACAGGTTCCTGAAGCATCTATTTATGTCTACCCTTTTTCACAAGGCAAAACAAAACCAACTTGAAATACCCCACTCCTTCCCCAAGGACCGCACATCCTACAGCCACTCACCCTTAGCAGGTCCTCAGCAGGCTAGGCCTGTTTGCACCTCAGGACATTTGCACTTGCTGTCTCCTCTGCTGAGGATAATCTTCCCCAAGCTGTCCCTGGAACTGGCTCCCTCCCTTAACCAGAGGGGGCTCCTCTCTCTGCCTCTTCTAGGTAAAACATATGCGAGCATTCTTTGTGCTATTTTGTTTCAAATTTTCTGTGAAGTTGAAATTTTAAAATTAAAAAAAATGGTAGGAAAGAACATAATTCAAATCCTATGTTCTCAAAGTAATAAATAAAAATTTTCATTTGAAAGAATGAATGTTAGACCATTACTCAAGCTGTGCTCCCCAGCTCCATGCACAGAGCAGACACACAGATGGCCTAAGGGACAATGGTCCTACCCCATCTTAGGAAACTTGCAGCCTCAGTTTGAATGTTTATCTGGCTATCATCTACCAGGCTAAGAAAAATGGATTTTAAAGCTGACCAAACTAATGTCACAATCTTGCATGACAATGTTAAGACAGGTCTCTAACTTGGCCACATACTTCAGCAGTCACCAGAATCAAGTAGAAATGCTGTGAAATCAGCATCTCTTCCATTTACATTGTGCTTCTTGAGAAGTCTATGCTTGTTATATTTTTAAAAGTTTAAATATTTAATTTTTAATAAGGTGCCAATGTTTACAGAGTGTTACAATAAAAAAATTGCTTTGTGGTTGCTCCAACACCAAATGCAAATAGATCTCATAAAAATCACACGTAGGCTCATTCTCAGCACACCGAAGCTGTTGAAAAGCTCGTTATGACCACACGGGTGAAAATGGAGTCTGCTTCATGCTCCCTGATTTAGGCACACAGGCTCTCCCCTCCTGTAAGTCATTGCAGAGGTTGGAAGCTGAGTCTGATAAGGCACTGCCCAGTGAGATTAAAACAGAGGTGTACTATATGACAATCATGTAATTCACTTCTCCGAATTTCTTCTCTCTTCCAGCTCATCACCTGATAATGAACACTGAGCAGTATTCACATGTGTTGATCATTTGAAGTAACCAGCTCTCACCTAAGTAAAACAAACTGCTCAAAGTTTTTCAATTTCTGTGACTTATTAGGGCCAAAAATGTATCTACTGACCTGTCTTCTCCTTTGTGAGGTCTTTGGGAAGGACTGAATGGAGAAATGTGAGACTGCCTTTTTGTAAGTAACAGCAAACACTGAATGCTATTTGTTTCTAGCACATTCCCTTTCTCAAAAAGCCACACACACACCTGCATTTCCAGGTGGTGTCTGACTTCTATGACACAGTTCCTTCATAACAGAGAGAGCAACAGATAAGTTGATGAGCCTACTTAGAGAACTCCTTTTCCATTGTGTACTTATGTCTATTCACATTTTTAAAAAAAAGATTCAGAAAGAATCCAGTAAGTTCTACAAATGTCTAAAGCCTTTGGTTCTGGAAATGTTCCTCTGAAAAATGTTTATTTCATCTCCACATTCCAGCTCTATTCCTCTTGCTCATTAGATCACCAGATTAAGTGATGAAGTGCTACAGTAAATACTTTGTGAATCCCTACCTCTATGCTTTTTAACAAGGAATGACAAAGTTGAGCAGCATCTTTCCCATGGAGTCTGATGGGTGGGTGAGTGGACTGCAGGGCTGAGTTAGGGCTCCAGGTAAGGAAGACAATTGGCTCTTGTAGTTCCTATTGCAAATTCCCCCATCCTTGACCTTAACCTGCCTGTCTAACCCTGGCCTTTAGTTGAGAAGAGCCTGAGCCCCGCAACAAATTGGAGGTTCAATTTATGAAGGAAAACAAGGTTAGGTTACTTAAGTCAAGTGACACTCCCAACTGTTCCCTGTGAATTCACAGATGACTCTATGCTAAGCATTGGGGTGAAAGACATAACTTCCCTTGGTGACTTTGGCCCAGAGGAAAGTACCCTCTCATCCTTCTATGGCCTCAGCTGGAGAAGAAGGGCATTCTCTGGTGTCACTGACCTTTGGCTGTCTTTTCACTGTTTCATGTTCCCTACTGAAGCTCCTAGTTTTCAGCTAAAAGGCTGCCCATCCTGGATTATCTAAATCCAGGCTATGACTAATACTCTTTGGGATGCCACATGGGAATAAGAGGGGAACTACATGAAGCAATCCTTAAGACTTTTTCAGATTTTAAAGTCCAGGAAACTCCAGCTTCACTTGCATTTGTTCCATGAAAACCCAATAACAATACTAATATTAGGATTTGTTACTCAATATGTACGTGCCATGAATGAAACAACAAATTTCATTCTATTATAAGAGTGAACACTGAATTCCCTACTTCTGGATGTCCATACTGAAGTAGCCATCTGATATTATTTTGGAGGGAGCCAATTACAGAAACAAATTTTCCGTAGTTTGTCAGCATGATCTAACTCTTAAACTTTTTAAACATATCAACTAGAAGTTGTCATAGAAAACCACTTTTAGGTAGGTTTTTATCCAAGATTAACATTTTTATTTAGGCTAAGAAATTATGGGTTCTTATTAGAAATTCTGTGTCACATCTGAAAGAGTGGGGACTATAAGGTTAGAAGAGAGTGTTCAAAGGGCTTTAGCAAACAAAAGTAAAGAGGACAATGACAGGGGCACAATGATGGCATCTAATACAGCAGACAACACCCGCCTCCCAAGGACCAATCCCCTCTTCCTCATTAAAAGAATCTAAATCTTGTTCAGAGAGTAATATGCCTCACTAAACACTGTCCTTCCCAGACTCACTTGCAGCTGGAGGAGCCATGTGACAGAATTCTAGCCAACGCGTGGAAGCTGGGCATTTCTGGGACAGCTTTGCTTTCTTGACATTATCATTGCATCTATTATTTGCCTCTTCCTGCTTAGAAAGCAGACATCATACCAGCAGTTCAGTAACCATCTTGAGACTATGCCACAAAGGATGGTGAGAAAAAATACCAAGGAGTGTGGATCCTTGATGATACTATGAAGATGATAGTCCTGGGTATGCAATCCCAGGTTTCCTATTCAGTTCATCACTGTTGATTGGATTTTCTTTGATTTGCAGCCAAATGCACACCTGATACATCAATATTCAATAGTGATATTGAGAAGGATGAGGATGATGCAGTGAAAAGAGAACAGACTAAAGAGAAAGAGCAAACAGGATAAATCTTGTTCACAGAGATCATACAGTGGACCTAAAAAACATAGCTTAATTCCTTCCCCCAGAAAAGACGGAAGTCCTGACTGAAAGAATAAATGCATCATTACATTCAATACAAAAGATGTCCAATGCACAAATTGGCTGTCTAGAATTTAACTCTGTCCTTCTGTGCTTTGATTGCTGGTGTGAAAATGCATGCTTATACATTAAAGCTGGGCATTTTGCATCCTACAGAGAAGAGAATGGAACAGATTTAGAATCAATTTAGTATTTCTCTTGCAATCCATTTGAAGGAGTTCCCACTGAGAACTCATATGCCTCACCCTCTCCACAGCCATATTTCTTAAGATCTGAGAGGGAAAATAAGTAGTTACACTGGGTAGCCTGTTCTGATTCTTGTATAGGCTATTTGGAAATTAAAGCACACTTATGGCAAGCTGGCAGCATATAGGATATGGCCCATAGAAAGTGCTGGACTGATCAATATTTAAGAATGCACAGGCAACAGCAATAAATAAGCAAATGCAATGAGGATGCAAATCAGTGATTGGGTGTGTTTACTCTCAAAATAATAATGAACCCCTTTGCATGGAAGGGAACACGGTGCAGCACTAAATGTTCCAATAGTTCATCAGGCAGTCCCAAAATGCTAGACTTGCAGAAATAAATGATTTCTTCATACTCATAACAGGTGATCCTGATGTGGGTTCAGAAACTGATGGATAAGTAAAATAACAGACTGAGAACAGAAGCAAGAAATGGGATAGACATGCATGAACCCATACTTACGGTTTTCACTATGTTCAAATTTAATTTCTTTTCCTATTCCAACAAAGTAAGTGCATATATCTTTAGTCTGATTCAGTAACATAGCAGCAAAACTTCAGGAACCAATCAACAAATAAGGACACCGACACACCAATAGCCCTTTGCCTTATGGACTCAAAGCTTCACAAATATCAGCCTTGAACAAAAGGGCAAACATTTGTTGATTCAGCATTTGTGTTCCATGTCCCTGTACAAACCACATAATTTATACCCACCCACATGCCCCCATAGCAATTAGTAAAGTCATTAACAAATACAACTTGAAACTTATAAGGGGTTAAAGCTATAAAATGCCTACTCATGGATGTACTTTTTAACAAAAGGTTTCATCTTTCTTCCCTTCCTTTCAAACAAAGCTTTTGGATCATTCTTTAGAATTATAACACATCATCTGTTTACTTCTTTTAAAATGACACAGTTGTATTTTTCTCATAATAATTGCCATCTTGTTTCTAATTAAACATGATGGATTCAGGGTCCTGGTTTGCCATCTGGGCCATATGTCTCAGAACATCCTTTTTTGTGATGATGCCAAGAAGTCTCCTGGAGAAGGAACAAAATAGAAAAAAGAGGTCAACCTTGCAGTACTGACTGGTATCTGTCCCTAAAAACCAGTGCCTTTTTCACTTTTCACCTGGGCATACAGAGAGACAACATTGCCAGCTTCCCTTACAGTTGGATGTGGCCAACTGAGTGAGCTCTGGCCAACAGTATATAGGTAGCCATGAGAGATGCCACTCCCAATTTGCCCACAGATTTCCTCATACTCTCTCTCCTGATCTACCAATCAGAGGCAAGGGAGCCAGTGAAGGACTCTGAGGTTACATGGGATTGATTTAGGAGCCATCAGATTCAAAGACCTGATCCTTGAATGACTGTGTGTTTACAGCCCACTCCTGCTACAACACACACTGGATGGGACACAGGGGAAAAATAAACCTGACACATCAGGCCACTGAGATTGCAAACTTGTTTATTCCAGCAGTAAACTTGTGATGAGTAATACTCCTAAATTTCAAGATTATAATCAATAAAATAAAAGGATTTTATCAAAGCCATTGTCAAAACTTGCCCACCCCACAAAAATTCCAAGTATAAGGTATTTTAAGTATAGTAACCAATTCTATTTTAAATCTATCTTACTAGAAGGGCAAAGTTTCATGTTCATTTCTGATTATATCTGTAAATTACCTCCTCTTCCAAAATTCCATTGCTTTCAACTTATAAAAACAATACCACCTGCCAGGGTCACTTGAGTAGGGCCACCTAGACAGTACATTGAACAACTCCAGGGAGAGCCCTGCACAAACACTACAATGTAAATAGTACCCCCCTGAATTATGCAGTACACACTTGGACATCCATTCACGGAAGCCCTTGCTTTCCTCTTGATTTTACTAAATATTTAAATGACCACCATCTGAAACAAATCATGCCTTCTAGCTAGGTACAGTGAAGGGCTTGAAGGAAGGCAACATACACAACTTCTTTGGAGAAAAGAAGTTCCACTGCCAAGTTAGTTTGCAAAATGCTACTCACCATATCTCTGTCACATCTAAGAAAATGGGAATAGAGAAGTAAATTATGGCAGTCTAACACTGGGATATTGTATAGCTATTAAAATGACCAACTTCTCTGTATCTGTGTAAAATGATGATGTACAAAAAAAGCAGAAAACAACAGTAACACACTTCCATTTGTCTAATTAAAGCCAAATCAGTCAAACTCATCTCTTACTAATGGAAAGTAAATATTCAAAGGTAATTCAAGTATTCGGAGCAGTATTCAAGTCTGTTACGTTTGGTAAAATGCACACTGGTCCATGAAATTGTCACGCTAAAATTCTGACTTCTTTGTCCCTGATTGCATTGGGCCTTAAAAAAGTGATTGATTTCTTGTGTTAGTTTCCATCTCTATCATACAGGTGGAGACAGAAGATACTACCCCTTCCACATTATCACATAGGAACAACTCAGGAGAGAGGAAAAGAGCAAAAAGTGGCCTTTAAAATCATGTTAAGCAAAACAAATAATGACAATATGGATGACAAAACACTGAAATAAAGCATCATGACTCTATCATGATAATAAAAAAAAATTAGGAAAAATGTAGAAAGCAGAATAGAATTAGAACATTTTGCAACCACAATGTAAGAATTAGTTCAGTCAGTAATTACCAATGGATTCCAAAACCACTGGGTAATGGCTGCTGGAAAATAGAAAATTCACATGGTCTCAAAGTATACCTCCACAGGTTCCTTACAAAAAGAAAAATGTCCCTTTACAAGTGAGGGTTCCGGCCATCACCACCTCATCCAAGTGATGGAGCTTATCACCAACAAAGTCAGAAAAGCTGACATTATGACATTATCTACTTTGAAATGTTGCCAAAAACTACTTAAACCAAATCAAACCATGAGGAAGCAGTCAAACAAATTCAGAATGTGAGACTACTGGTCTGGACTCTTCAAAAAAAATCTATGCCACGAATAACAAACAAAAAAAGGCAGGGAACTATTTTAAATGAAAGATGAATGAGGCAAAACAATAAAATGCAATGTATGAACCTTGAAGGAATTCTGGATTGAAATTTGGTATGAACTAGATATTGAGTGATAAATTGAGTTATTACTAATTTTATGTAATTATGGTTTAGTGATTATGTAAAAAGAGTGTCCTTACTCTTAGAAGATATATGCTTCATTCATAATTTCCAAAACTTGGAAGCAACCAAGATGTCCTTTAGGAAGTAAATGGATAAACAAACATCCAGACAATAGAATATTGTTCAGTGCTAAAAAGAAATGAGCCATTGAGCCAGATAAAGACGTGGAGGAACCTGCAATGTATTTTGCTAAGAGAAGCCAGTCTGAGAAGGCTATGTAATTCTAATTCTCTGACATTCTAGAAAAGACAAAACTAAGGAGAGAGTAAAAAAGACCAGTGGTTTCCAGGGGTTATGGGAAGGTGAGAGAAGGAGAGATGAACAGGCAGAGCACAGAGGATGTTTAGGGCAGTGAAACTACTCTGTGTGATACTATAATTGTGGGTACATGTTGTTCTCCATTTGTCAAAACCAATAGAACATGCAACACTAAGAGTGAACCCTAATGTCAACTACAGGGTCACTTTGACCCTACAAGTGACCCTTTTTGATCTTTTCACAACAATATATTGCTATTGGTTCATCAATGGCAACAAATACAATACACCAATGAAGGGAAACTGAAGGTGCAAGAAAGGGAATATGGGAACTCTACTTTCTGTTCAATTTTTCTGTAATCCTAAGACTGCTCTAAGAAATAAAGTCTATTGATTAAAGAAAACAAACCCTTGGAGGGGAGGGTTTGGCTGAAGGGAGGTGAGCAGTGAAGAAGGATAAAGTCTGGAATTGTTTTTCATTCTAGCTGTTTAAAGCTACTTGACTTTAAACATGTTCACATGGTACTTTAAATATGTTTTTGAAATTTATCAAAATGCAGTCAAACTGATGATGCCCCAGAAAACCAGATGCTGTTTACTAAGTCTGCCAAGCTGAGTCTGAGTCCTGACTCAGTCTACTTGAGTTGCCATAACAAAGCACCACAGACTGGGTGGGTTAAAGAACATAAATGGAGGTTCTCACAGTTCTGGGGATTGGAAGGCTGAGATCGAGGAGCTGACAGGGTTGATTTCTGCAGAGATCTCTCTCCTTGGCTTACAGACATCTGCCTTTTTGCTGTTACCTCACATGGCCCTTTTCTCTGTTTGAGCATCCCTAGCGTCTCTTTCTCTTCTTATGAAGACCCCAGTTCTATCAGATTAGGGTCCCACTCATGACCTCATTTAATCTTAATTATTCTCTTAAAGATCACATCTCCAAATAGTCACATCAGAGGTTAGGGTTTCAACATAAGAATTTGGAGTGTGGGGATGACATAATTCAGTGCATAACATCCTTCAACTCCCTTTAATATTAAAAAAAAAACAGTTAGAAGGCAGAAAGAATGCCTACAACACACCACTAAGACAGTGTGATCACAACAGAAATGGGAGCAGGTGTGAGCAATTGGGTTCATGAAGGTGTATTCAGACATGGTGGGAAGAAGTTCTGCTGCTGGCAATTGCTGGCTGATAGATAATCCCTCAACTTCAAGTGCTCTTTTGTTCTCTTTGAAATTTGTTTTCTACTTGGAAGCACAGCCCAGGACATGTGCATGTGGAACACCTGGGTAACACCACTTAGATTAGATTATACCCGTGCCCTCAGTAGATGACAAGCCCCATGGCTTTATTTTTTAAACATTTTTTTAGCCTTTTCTGGGTCTCAAATCAAATAGCTCCTCAGTGAGATGATCAAACCAATGTTGCTTTTAAAAATATGACTTGTTGGTGTTTGCAAAGTGCTGAGAACTTGACTATACCACACACATACACCACTCCTCCCATATCTTTAAAGCCTGCTTTTTATTTCCTTATCTTCACTCTGGAGACAGCATCAAAGATCAGGCCTTTTCCTAAAGCAGTCCTGACTAGACCCCCTTCAAGCTCTGCAACTACAATGTCTGAAAGTCAAGCTGGTTACAACAGTTCAGCAGGGGAAATACAAATTCAGGAGCTACCTTGCATGCAGGCATCAGTTGTGCCCTGGCCCTCGACAATAATTACCACAGAAGAACACTGCACATCCTTCTGGAAGGAAGTGACATCAAATCACGCAGGGTTCATTAGTACTGTGAAATGTCCCACTTGATTTAAATCAAGAGTTTGTACTTCCAGCCCTTTGGGTAGTAGTTTAAATGAATCCAGTCACTAATAAATGGCCAATCCATGACCATGAACATAATTCAGATTAAAGCAGCTAAACTCTTCTGGGGTCACCTAGAAGATCTTGGGGAAAGCTGACACCATCTCCCTAGTTCGCTTCTTCTTTCTAGATCCCATGTATGCAAAATCCCACCCAAATTCACTCTTTGCCACTGTAGGCTTCCAACACTCTGGCATTCTGGGAACAAAGACTTCTCTGGTTCCTGGTCTGGATTCACTACTGCCTGGTTTCACTACCTTGGACCCAAGGTCCCAAGAAATCCTGTGGATGATGCGGGCCAACAGGATGAGCTGGGCTCTCAGCTACAAGCAAGGAAGGCACACAGCAACAGAATAATCAAAAACGCGCACTGGCTTAAGACGTGCCTGCCCTGGCTGAAAGCCCGGGGAGATGAAAGGCCCTGCACACAAGGACCCCTTGCCAGCACTAACTTATCAGCATCTGTGTTTGTTTAAAATATGTAGAGCGAGAGCAAAAGAGAGAGTGAGAGAGAGCAAGAGAGAGTGATTTTGTTTTCTCATAGAACATTCGGAGCCAATTTCAGCACCCAAATCTTCACAGGAAAACCTCATGGGGCTCCATGAGGTGTGAGCGGGTGTTAGGAACAGAATTGCCTGCCAAAACTGGAAATTCCAATGATAACTGACATTGGATGATTATTTTAAAGGGAAAAAGAAACTGCTATGCTCTTGAGACAACATGGGTGATCACAGTAGTATTTATGCCAAGTGCTGGAAATTCAAGTACAATATATAAATGGGCTTCAGTGTTTCACAAAGTGGGGTCTCCTGAACAACAGCAGCCCTTTGGGGCTTTTTAGAAATATACATTCTCCACACACACACCCAGACCTGCACTGGAGCCCAGCACTCTGGGGTCCACTTGGAGGTTTAATCCTTGAGGATTCTGATGCACAATCAAGTTTGTGAACCACCGAGTTCCTTTAAAAGTCACAGCAAAAAAATAATCTCTAACCTCAACTGTCTGTTTATTTGTTCCCTATTGATTGCCCTTCCCAAGTGCAAGACACCCACTGTGGGCAAACTCCACATCCTAAATGAGGGGCTTCAGCCAAACATCTGTGAAATTAGCCATTGCTGGGCTAAGTCCCTCTGCTATGATCCAACCATTCACTGTCAAAGTCTTAAAACATGGTCCTCACTATGATGGCTCCTTTGGGGGAGTGAATTGCTTCCCCTAAACTCCAGGGCATCCAGAAGGCCCAGAGTCCTCCACCCTCGCCTTTCTAACACTTCTTCACCTCATATCATAGGCTAAAGTTTGACAAGACAAGAGACCTCATTTAGCTACCCAGCTGTTGTCAGAGCTGGGAAGACACCTGTCTTGTTGGCTAGGAGTTCCCTGGGTCAATGTGCAAGTTCAAATGCTTGCAGAGCCCTGTGCTGCTATTTGTAGGACAGTGGGAAGAAGGCTGAATGAGTAAGGATTGCTTACTTGGTTATTCTCTGGCATCTAGTCCAGGGCCACTCAACTGCAATGCTAGTGACATTTGGGGCCCAATGATTCTTTGTTGCAATGGGGGCTGTCCTGCGCATTGTAGGGTGCTGAACAGCATCCCTGACCTCTCCCCACTAGATGCCAGCAGGATCCCTTCCCCGAAGCTGTGGCAACCAAATTCTTGTGGTTGGGAGGAGGCAAAATCAGCCAGGTTGAGAAGTGCTAGATTAAACTGGAGTGTGTTGGCTCTGGAAATATAAATATGTCAGGGAGTAAAGCCTCTGGAGTCTAAAAGGCCTAAATTATACTTAGGAGACCAATGTCTTCACAAGCCACACCCCATACCTCCTACCCCCAGCCTATAAAGGAATGAACTGGGCAGACAACCAGAGACTCTAGACTACCCTGACACAGCCAACCTCTTCCTCCTATCAAGCTTCATAGGCCATGGAATTTGGGGTACACCTCTGAGCCCAAAGAATGGCCCCAGGGGCATTTCACTGCTCATGCCATCATGACCCCTTGGTCTTTGTAGTGCTGCTTGCCTGCTTTGTATAAACACAAAGCAAAAGGAATATTATTGCCACAGAGACAATACCATGGGGCCAGTAAGTCTCTCAGCTCTCCCATAATGTTTGTGCTGAAAATATGGACTTGTTTTGACCACACTGATAAATTAGGGAATAAACTGAGCATAATAGAACTTCACATTTGCTTCTGGTGATTTCATCCATGAGGTAGTCCAGGTGAGTGCAGACAACTGCACCCAGCTGGGCCCCAGGACACAGGAATACACAAAATGTTCAGGAGCTGTGGCCAACACTCAGGTCCATAAGCCAACCTCCAGGTCTCTCAAAGTGAAGTGACACATTTATTGTCTTAAATGATATATTTCTTAATCATTTAATGTGCCTAAAATGGTACTCCCACTTTTATTACCTTTCCATCTCTCTTTTTTTTGTCACCGATGAAGTTTTCAAGCATTATGCCCCTAACTTTTTTTCTCACAAGCCCTGTGCTTTTCATTGCTCATTTTTGCATATAATCAGCACCATGATTTTAAGGACTGTATATGTCACATTACAGCAGAACAGGCTGTACCTTCTCCTTGAGCCAGGTGTCACTTGGGTAGTACAAAACCAGCCCCAAGCTCTCTCCTTTGCCTCCTTCTTTTGGCTCAACCCACAGCCTCATGCCACACAGCAGCCCCACCTGGAAGCTTCTCCCGCCTTCCTGTGCTGCGCTAGTCCCTGTGTTAAGTTCCCACAGCTCCCAGTCATTTTCTTCTCAATGCACCCACAACAATGTACCGCCATCCTCTACCAAGTGCTGGTCCTTGAGTGCCCTAAGGACCGAGACCACATCTCATTCATCTTGTTCTCCCAAGTCTGATCACAGTACACATTCCATCAACACTAGTCCAGCCACTCACCCACTTCGTGTCACCAGGCACTGCCGGAGCCCCAGTTTCCGGAAGATATCCACCACTGTCTCCATGGGTGTGTGGTCCGTGACCGTGAAAGGACTGAGGTTTAGGACACGGCGCAGCTTCAGGGGTTGGGGGCTGTTGGCCGGCAGTTCAGGGGGCTCCTCTGTGAAGTACATGATGGAATTGCTCACGATGCCCTCCTGCCTCTGTCTGGCATTCTCTAGAATGGGCGAGAAAAAGGATTAGCAACACCAAAATCCCTTGCTTAGCAACTGTCCCAACCCCAGACCCACAGGAACACACATCCTCCCACTACCTGCATCCTAGAATCCCACAGAAAAGGGGTTCAGGGGGCAAACTTCACGTCCTAAATGAGGGGCTTCAGCCAAACATCTGTGAAATTAGCCATTGCTGGGCTAAGTCCCTCTGCTATGATCCAACCATTCACTGTCAAAGTCTTAAAACATGGTCCTCACTATGATGGCTCCTTTGGGGGAGTGAATTGCTTCCCCTAAACTCCAGGGCATCCAGAAGGCCCAGAGTCCTCCACCCTTGCCTTTCTAACACTTCTTCACCTCATATCATAGGCTAAAGTTTGACAAGACAAGAGACCTCATTTAGCTGCCTAGTGACCTTAATAATTGGTTTGGTTTTGTTTTTTAACAAACTAACTCACAGTTGGCCCAAATGGCATTTTGAGTCCTGAAAGGAACAAGAAATTAATAGGGCCATCCCAGGCTCAAAGCCCAGGAATATAGCTCGATTCCAAATATGACCCTTGGAACCAAAGAAATACCCCTAGAGAAGTCGCATCTCCCTCCCCTTGGATCTCCATTCTTAAAAGGGGGCCATTCTGAGGATTTCTCAAAGAAATATAGTAAAACTGTTATGGTAACAATTAGCGTATTTCTATCTATAGGCAAGGCCATGTGAAAGAGAGCTGAAGAAAAGTGGGGTAACAGGAACTCATTAGAATACAGCTTTATGCAGTACTAGAAACCCAGGCTATTTTAAGTCACACATGAAACAAATCCATCAGTCTCAAGATATTTCTCTAAGGCAATTTTCCTTCTGTTGGAATTTTAATCTTTCTTTTGGTTCATGGGAAAAGGTTAGGAAAAATGTACAGTGAGGCTTGCCTTAAAATTAATCCTGGTTTTTATAATACACTTCTTGCTTTCTCAAAGACTACAGTTCATCTACATTGTTCAAACTGCCTGCTCTAAGGCCATTAACTGCATAGAATACTCTAATGGAGAACTGGCAGCATTCAGGGTCAGGCGGAATTGGAAAAAGGGCCTCTGTTTAAAAGAGAAACAGGCGGCCCACTGGGCAAATGCCTGCACATTATTTGGGTCAGGTTAAATCTAGTTACCTCAAATGGGATGTGATTCAACCACAAATGCCAGATGACATTGAGGCACAACACATTTTCAAATGGAGATGCTACATAATGCACACCACCCACTTCTCCCCTAAATCAAGATGGTTCTGTCCTGAGCAAGACTCAACGCATACTTATTGGCTCATTTTCATACACCAGTAATTTTCCAAATCTCCCACATAATGAGAACCCCCATCTCATTCAATAATCAGGTAGAACATTAGATCAATCCACATTGATCTAATGTGGATCAATCCACACTCCTCAATTAAGGACTGATCACATGAATTTGCTGAATCCCTTATAAAATCAAATGCAACTTAGTACGCTGGCAGTCCGCTTGTTGAAATAAATGAGCTTCCATTTCCTTGGCAAACCACTGTTTGGGTTAGAAGCCCTGATTCTAACAACAGCTAATTCATTGAATTCTTGCTTACCAGTGCATTCCCAGTGCCTGGATGATACCTAGTATACAGCAGACACCAAACACATATTTGCCAAATGCATGCATGAACCAATTAATCAACAAGTGAGTGAGGAGTGAGTAAGCCTACTAAATGTCAGGGGACTTGGCTTTGCCTGTCATGTAGAACAGAGCCTATTGCACGTAGGAGGCATTAGGAATGAAAGCCCATGAGCTAGTCAATGCTGGACAAGGAATAAAAGGTAGCAGGTGGGATCAGAGCCAGAGGTCTGAGCTATGCTCCTTGCTATTCCAAGAGCACCAACTGCTGCTCTCTCCAGACAAGCTCTTCTAGGCTACTTCAGAACTCTATTAGAAAGACACATTAAAGCTTTGAACTCTGGGGGTGGAGGTCCTATGCACGGGCCAAAAGCTGGTGAACAGAAGAAGAACCAGCAAGAAAGCTCTGCACATCTCTCCATTAGGGTGAACCATCCACTCTCAGTTTGGACAAGAAATCTTCATTAGTCACCAAAATGCCTGCAACAAACTTTAACATGTAAGTTCACAAAGGGTCACACTTGAACTCTAGCTCCTAAGACTGTCAGGGCACATGGTGGATTCGCAAGAAATATTTCCTGTGTGACAAGATAGTCTGACTCCTCTCCCAGGGAAAGATCTCGTGCTATAAGAGACTCTCACACCCAAAACATTTGTGGGAGCCTGTGTTAGAAAATAATCCTCCCCAAAACACCCAATGTTTACACATGTAAAAGACAAGAAGGAAATGCACCAAATATTAACCACGGCCTTCTATGGCTTTGAGAATGTGGAGGCCTTTTTCTGTTTGCTATTTTACTTCTTACTTCCCCAATATTCTCTAAGTATGTATTACTTTCACTTTAAAAATGTAGTAAACTTCATTTTTAATTGTTTTAAAGATCAAGTAGTTAAACTGTTTTTCATAAGGAGGTTTTTTTGTACATTGTACCATAACTGGTATTAATGCCCATGGCTTCCAAAAAATGATGTACATTTAGGAGCACCTGCTAGGGTCATTTCACTTGACATTCTACTTTCTAGCAGCAATGTGATCATAATGCCAGGTGCAGGGAGGGTAAGAAAGTGTTGATAAAGTGAATTTCACAAACTATGATAAGCCAAAAAAATTTTAAATACTAGAAATAATCACATATTCAGTAAGCTATTACAATGGCTTTAGAGCAATGGTTCTTGATTGGGAGCAGTCCTGCCTATCCTCAGGGGACATTTAGTAATATTTGCAGATACTTTTGGTTGTCATAACTGGGAGATGGGCTTCCTACTCACATCTACTGAGTAGAAAGCAGAGATTTTGCTCAACACCCTACAGTGCGCAGGACAACCCCTCTCAATAAAGAATAATTCAACCCCAAATATCACCAGTTTTAAGGTCAAGAAACTACTCTAATTATGTTTTTAGGGTAGTAATACTCTATCATCCTCTTCATTAACAATGTTTCCACAAGAACACATGTAATTAACAAGAAAGATTAAAATGGAAAATAGGAAGCAAGTATAGTGGTGGTCAGTACAAAGATGATGTGATAACAAAGTAAAAAGTATTTAGAAGAGAAAGCAGATTATTTTATGATGCGATAGCTTACTAGAGCATGGAGAAGTCTCTCCATATATATGTTTTAGTCCCCAGCAGAAAGAAGCATATAACACCACTATTCTCCTGGCAAAAAATGTCTTTACTTCTAACAGCCCTTCTAACAGATCTGACATTTATCTTCTTATTCAGTTCTGGACATAGATCCCTTTCTGCAAGTAAGCATCTTCCACATGCTGTAGAATCATCATTAAATCATCCACCAGACAAAAAAAATCAGAGTTCCCTTAACTCCTGCCCATAACTCTAATTTTCCATCCCTTTAATCATCTTTGTGGCTTCCCACTGAGTCCTCTCTCAACCAGTCCTCACTTAATTGCTGAACTCAAGACCTGGAAGAGCCTGAGCCCTGCTGAGCAAGGAAAGAGCCTCATATTTGCAAATGGCACTGAGGGTTAAAGTCCCATTTACCAGGAATTTGAACAGGGGTCACATATGGCCCGTATGCTAGTGCGTGATGGTGAAGAGGCCCAGGCTTCCAAGATGGTGCCAGTGAATTATTCTCTAACAAAGATGACAACCATGGTTGTCACAGGAGCAGCTGCTACAATTTTTAACATGACCTATAAGAAAAATCCTTATTTGCCTTATTTACCACTCTTTTCTTACATAGACTATCTCAGATATATCTATAATTTTTGCTCCTAAAAAAATATAATTCCCCTGAAAGTAGAATCTGCATGGAATCATTACTAGCTAAATGCTAATGTCATATTTCCACATTCACAAAAGGGTATATGATTTTGCAAATATAGGTCACAAATTTCTCCACCAGATACAGAGAGTCTTCTATTTCCACAGACCAGGAAAACAGCTTTTCTGATTGCTCAGAATGAAACACTACTTGCCTTTCCACAAACCATGTAAATAGCAGCTTCTATACTATCCTTGGTCTGATTGAAAGCATATAGGTATTATTTACACCGTGTGTTGCCTCTTCAGACATTCCAAACATAGCTTCTAGGGGAGCACTTGGTTGGCAAGCTTAAATTTCTTCTCTAACTGGTTGATGACAATTGTTCCTTCCTACTTGATTACAGTAATGGCTTTCAGCAAAATTAGTAAACTGTCTCTTAGCAGGTGTGCCTGGAGCTACACAACAGATAATAGGTTCTATGACATTTATTACTTTATTTTTTTATTTCAACCTTTGCTTAAAGGATTTTAAGGATTGAATAAATTTTTTAAAGGTTGCTGATTACATTATTCTAAAACAAACCCAATCTTTCTTATACAGCCTTTTTAAATTTTTGTTTTTTATAAGATGATATTCATAGATAAAAGGCACCTACCTGTTAAGCAACGGGATCTATAAGAGAAGCTTCACTGAGCACTTAAGCACAAATGTGCTATCATGTTTAAAATAGACAATCAGTTATTGCTCTGTAACAGGTAAATATGTTTGAGCAATAACCTAAAATTACAGGATATAGTTTATCTAAAGTTATTTTATAAAGCCTTTGATGAACACACTTTAAAGATATCTCCAAAGCTATTTAACATGTGAAGAGATTTGGGAATTCAAAGGGAAAGCCTAAGAGATAGTTAACAAAGGGTAGGGTGAAACAAAGGGTTGTCCGGTGGGGTGTTCTGCCTTCATACCCAGGTGAGTCCCACTGACAAATTTCATAAACACTCTGAAAGATGGAATATATAGTAAAATAATTGACTGCACACTTCAGCCACATCACAGGCCCCAGCCTACTGTGAAATGCTGGGATGGTGTATGGGTCACAGGGAGGGCACATGAGCGGGATGGCATTTGTGATTGCCATGCATTGCAGACACACTCGGATGCTCCCTGCTCTACTGCATCAGGAGGTCCACTGGGACTTCAATGGAGTGAGCCCCCTGAAGCTCACTGTTCCTCCTGGCTTGGGCCTCCAACCATTCACACACAGGCTTTGCTCTTTGGAATCCTTCTCTTCCTACTCCCCTTCTAATGCAGTCATTGCTAGAATTATGGGGCCCACAGGCATGCTTGTCTGAGCCACCTGTCTTCAGGACACTCCATCTGGGCATGGTCCCCTCTTTCCTCTTCCATCTCAACAGCCTACCCCTCAGCCCAGCTGATTTTAGTTGGCACATGAGGAGGAAAAGCATCACACAGAACTAACGACTTCTGCTCATTAACCTCAAACTAGTGGGATGGGACATAATGTCATAAAATGAAGTAAAAGGCTTGTGTTGACCCAAGGGAGGCATCCCAGGCAAACAACATACCACCTCAGTAGTTAGTCTGCCTGAAAGTCTGTCTGACAGCAGCTCAGCCCAGGCCAGCCCTGCTTTCCCATAGCTTCCTTCTCAGCTTTGCCCAACAGTGAATTCCATAAAAGGCAGCCACCGATGTTTGCCTCCTAGCAGGACTGGGGCCCGGGCAGCTGCTTGCAAACATGGTGGTCATCTTCCAGCTAAGCATGCCCTCTCAAGATACTTCTCCTCACAGTGTAATGTGGGAATCAGCAGCACAGCATTAATGGGGAGCTTGGCAGAAATGCAGAGTCTTGGGCCCCACTACAGATCTACTGAGTCAGAATCTGCACTTCAACCAGATCCCCAGGTGACACAAATATACATTCAAGTGTGGGATCCCCTGGCTGAAAGCCCTCTGCCCTTTGTACATTCTCTCCACCTTCTTTGAGAATGTGAGGGATACAGAGGCTGCTATTTGTCTCTGAGTAACATGAGAGCTTCCTTCTCTTTACTCACTTATTGCAAGAATCAGTTCCCTCCTCTGGGCAAATCCAATGAGGCGCTCAGAGTCCCTGGAGACCACCACAGGGAAGCCGTTGTAGTCGGTCTCTTTGATGAGCGTCTCCACATCCTCCACGGTCATGCTGTCCTGGGTGAGCACAGACAGTGGTGGCTCTCCCCGCCGAGGCCGCATGACATCAGTGGCCAGGGTGCGGTGAGTGAACTCATCCTTGACATCCAAAAATGGGTACCCATTTAAGTGGATGTGAGCCTCGTAGATGCCTTCTTTCCCAAAGGCATCAGCTACCCACTTGCTGGTCACGGCTGCCGCCATCAAGGGTACAATGTACTCTAGACCACCTGTTAATTCAAACATGATGACCACCAATGACACCGTCATCCTGGTAACTCCACCTGTAAGTGAAGAGAGGAGTGAAATTATGAAACAACCCCAGACACTCAGGAGGACAGGAATTGTGGAAACTGTCAAGTTGGTTGTAAATTCTCCTGACAGGGGAGTATGTAAGGAGACAGTCCCATCCTGTCACTTCTCAGGATGCAGTTCCACATGTTGTCTATGTTCAGACCTCTGGAACTGCTGCCAGGCTCTGTTAAATGCATCAGGGAGCCATGAGTCACATCTGACTGGAGGGCTCTTCTGCAGGGAGGGACAACTTGGTTCTCTAGTCACCTAGGACCACATGCCTTGCTTTTTGGTTAAGTGGATAATATGTGGGCTATGCAGGTTTCTGACTAAGCAAGCATGAAACCTGGACCCCATACACTGAAAAACTGTAGAGACTCTTATGGGCTATAGACTGGAGAGGGATCACCCTTGTGTCCTTTGGTATTCAAAGAGAGAATCCGTACCAACTCCTAATCTTTCAATGAGCTTAAACTGGGGTTTGTTGACCTCAGAACTAGAAACATTTGGGACCAGATCATTCTTTGTTGTGGGGGCTGTTCTGTACACTATAAGATGTTTAGCATTATACATTGCCCCCACCCACTAGATATAAATAGGACTTCTAACCCCAGGCACAACAGCCAAAAATGTCTCCTCTATTGTCCAGTGTTCCTGAGAGGCACAATAGCCTCAGTTCAAAACCACTGTTCTAGATGGTACCACTTGGCAGATGGTAGAGACTCCATCAGCATCCATGAATCCCTGAATGATGACTAAGTGGAGAGAAACCATCTGCTAACTCACACTATACACCCACACCCGCACACAAGAGATGATTCTCATTATTTGTAGTAGTTATGATCTATAAAGTCACCATAAACACTAAATTACCAAATTCTGAATCATTGCCCTAGGGGAAAATAAGGTTAGGGTCCTGTGAGCCTCTGGTCACAATATTTTTGTCAAAATCAATACAAAATTTTATTTTGTGTGGGTTTCTCTTCAGAGACATCTTATTTAATATATGTGGCTGATTCTTTAATGTTGAACACACAGCCAACAGCACTGTGTAATTTGTGCCTGAAGGAAGCTTCTGTAGCACATGTATTTTTTCCTTAAGGTACATCCCAGGCTTCTCACCCTAAGAATCTTAGACAGTACCTCAGTGCTATGCTTGGAGGCCACTGTAAACAGCAAATCATTAACAAGAAGCACAAAAGTGCAAAACACATGGCAGGCACTAAATAGGCCTTTAGAAGGACATTTGTGTATAATCTGAGAGCTGGACCAAGAGGGTAGACCTTCAGCTTGGTCAGCCTCCAATGAGGACAAACATGTATGTTGGATAACTCCAATTTTCCACTGCTCTGTGACTGTCCAAGAGTGACTGTGAAAGCCCCACAGGTATTGATTTAGGGATTATAAAATTTTAGCAAGTAGACAAGTTCCCAATTATGAAATCCATGAATAATGGGGATCAACTGCCTATTATGGACCAGATGTAAGTCTTGGTGTGTTGGGCCACTGAGATTTAGGGGTTTACTTGTCACAGCAGCACAACCTCTCCTATCCTGAAAATGCAAGTACTCATGTATTCCTTGTGACCAGTCCTCTAACCAAGATCAGCCTTTGTGCTTGGTCTGTCTCAACTTTTCCTGCATCTCTCACCCCCACCTCATCCCACCTCTGGCTGTACCTAGGCAGGCTGCTGCTCCCACCATTGCGTAAAGTCCCGGGGTGACACAGTCTGCTCCAGGCCTGCACCAATTCCTGAAGATGATCCAGTCGTGGTGATGGTAAGCCAGCTGTTCCACGCCAATTCCCACCATCCTGCCTGCCATGGCTCCCACAGCCATGCTGGGGATGAAAAGGCCTGATGGGATCTCCAGGAAGCACATACAAAAAAGAAACATGAGGCAAGTTGTCCAAATTCCCACCTCCTCACTCCCAGTATACACTCTGCCCCCTCAACACGCTTGCATTTTGCTTCCATCCTCAGAGGAGGTACAGCACTTCAAAGTAGGTCACCTGGGAAAAGGTGGGACAAGTGATTGCTCCTACTTAGTCAGTCCTATCTACCGTGACTTGGAGAGAATGCAATTTTACACCTTCATTTCCTGGCCTTCAAAAGCTGGCCTGGTTTGCCTGCTGTGGATTAAAGAATGATAAGCTCCACTGCAAATAGCATTCAGAGCAAGCATCTGTCACTTGAGATACTCACCACTTTTTGCTCCCCTTGCGTGTCCTCCAAATTAGCTTTTAAAATTAAATGTCAAGCCACAGCATGAAAATGGAAAAGAAGGGCCTGCAACTGTTCATAGGTAGAATAAAGAAGCTGAAAGCAGCAGTGCAGCCACCTGGATCTTCTAAAGAGCTTTCAACGGCTTACTGCCCTCTTGAATACAGAGTGGTCAAACACCTTTCAGGGGCAGGGGGCAGTGCCCTTTTCCCAACAAAGTCCATTTTCCAAAAAAGTACAGTGAATATTTTCAAGTCAGGTTGGAGGTAGCAAAGACAGACTATCTGAACTAAAAGATCTTGGTAATAGTGTGCTTTCTATTTTGCTATGTGAAAATACATTGTAATTTATTTAGTGATCAGACATGCACTATGGAACACACATGAAGACTGCACATGAATGCAACGCTGACTGGGAGCTGCAGTTATATCCAGCCTGGACTGTCATCAATCTCAGGATGGAGGTGGATCTTTAACCACATTCCAGGTGAGTCTGGATCCTTGAGGGTGGTTTCTAGAATTTGGGACATTCCTGAGGAAATTATTCCTTTCTGAGCTGCCCCTTATGCCATGACCACTTATTCCCCTATAACTTCAAAGTCAACTTCTCCCAGTAGGCACCAAAAGATGTTGCTAGTGTCTTCCTGACACACAAAAATAAATCCCTTTGCTAGGAGAGGATAGATCAGAGACAGTCAGTTGTTTAAGAAAGTCCATCCAACCTTGTTCTCAGAGCAAAAATTGAGGTTTGTGTTTGACCATTACACACTCAATGTAAACTCTATACATGCTTTCTAACACTTTTTAAAAAGAAACAAATGAAAAAATAGCACACAGAAAGCAATGGCGATGGAAAACAATGGGGGTTCTGGAGGAGTCTCAATGTTCTGCTTCTAGTACTGGATGCTGGTTACACAGGCATGTGTTTTTCATGGACATTCACCAAGCTGTATACATCTCTATATGATTATTGTACTCTGAGCTTTGGCTTTTTCACTTGCAAAATATGATTAAAACCTCTATTTCATATGCTTGCTGTTAATCAAAAGCATAGTTTCTTATTGATTAAAAGAATGTCAAGTGCCCAACACAAGACAACATTCAATAAAGGTCAATTCCCCTTTCCTACCAACACAATTTTATTTTAGCAAATAGGGTACTGTCCCCAGAAGGACATGGGTGCCCCCCCACATCTTCCTTCCCCTTCATTTACCTTCATGCCAAAGGTAAATATGGTAATGACGATTTTGAAGATCAGCGCCAGGGCCAGCTGCCACATGGCTGTGTACACCCCGAGCCCGGCCGGCCGGTCAGGAATGTCATCCACAGGCCGGGTCATGTTGGGGTCGTTGATATAGTCACAGAGCTGGGAGGACTCAAGGGCCCCGCAGTCATTGAACAGCTCAGAAATGAGCTCACTCGTGCTCTTGCGTGTGTAGGGGTTGGGGTAGGCGATGATGGCTGTGATGGCAGTCACCACAATGACCTCCAGCACCGGGTACTTCCCCAGCTTGGTGGTTTTGCGCCTCCTGCACCAGGCGATGTTGCAGCGGATAAAGAGGGTTCCCCACAAGCCCCCAAAGACCCCCAGCAGGATGAAGGGGAAGAGCTCAGCCATGTACCAGGGCGTGTGATATTCCACATAAAAGAGAACAAGGCGGCTGTTCCCAAAGGGATTGATGGATCGCAGCGTGAAGGCCGCCACCAGGGCCGCAAAAAAGGACCTCCACAAGGTCTTCAAGGGAAAGTAGTAACTAACCTGGGACAAACAAGGAGAAAATTAAAGACGAGCCAAAGATGGGCAGTACTTACTTCCTCAGTCTAGGTTTAATTATGACCCAAAGGCACCAACAAAGATATTTAGAGGACTCTGCGACTCTGTGTAAAAGTGGAATGGATACTAGTCAAAGTGTTTTTGAGCTATTTTTAAGAAAAATAAAAATATTGAATCATAATTCTATTTACGGCACAGAGACCCTCCTAAAAGCAAATAAACCTCTGAATTTGACTCTACGGACAACAGACTAGACCAAGGGTTGGAAAACCCTAGCCCAGCAAATGTAGCTGAATGCCACGAGTTAAAAATAAATTTTACAATTTAAGATGGTTCACAGGGAGTATTTTGTGACATGTGAAATATTCAAAAGAATGCTATTTTGTGACGTGAAAATCATATAAAACTCAAACTTGAGGGTTCATAAGGAAAGTTGTGTTGGAATGCAGTCATGCCCAGTCACATATGTGTTGTCTGTGGCACCTTTCCTGCCACATGGCTGGGTTCAGTAGCTGTGACAGAGACCAGGAAACCCACAAAGCCTAAAATATTTACTATATGGCCATTTAGAGAAAATGTTAACTGACCCATTGAATAGATCTTTTGGGTTGCCAAAACCAAAAATGCTTAATTAAATTGGTTATGAGAAAGAGAGGACACAAAAATGTATATTGACAATTTTTTTCAAACAAGTCTCGAAAGCAGATATTTAGCAGCAAAAATCATGGCTCCTTAATGAGCTGCAGGAATCATGTCAATGCTCCTATGAGTCTAATCCTCAGAGGGCTTTAGATGGAGGCCTACTGCTGAGCTAACCATCCACGTATCCCTCGGCCCCCAAAACACACTTCCGCAGCCTCCCATGCTCACCTCTTCTAGACTGAAAAGCACACCCCCAATTGGAGCACCAAAGGCAACGGAGACTCCAGCTGCAGCTGCTGCTGAAAGTACCTGCAAGGCAAAGCATTCCATGTAGCCCAAGGCCTTTCATGAAAACAAGCGTGTGCAGGGGGGAGTGCAAGGGGGCACCCTCCAGAAGATGGGAGCTAGGCATGCTTACCTCACGCCTCTTGCCCTCATTCTTGCTGTACTTGGAGAAGAGGCTGCTGAAGAAGTTGCCACAGCAACAAGCCACATGTACCAGTGGCCCTTCCTTCCCAAGGCTCAGGCCCGAGGACACTACCAGCACCAGGGTGACGGTCTTGATCAGCAGGGTCCACTTTCCCAAGTAGCCCCTGATGATGAAGCCACTCAGAATGGTCTTGATCTGCAACAGAGGACAAAGAACTAGGATGCATGAGCTACTTCAATGCCACAGCTGGGAACTAAATCCCTGAGAAGCAGTTCTCAAGCTTAGAGTCACTAAATTATGTGGAAGAGAGCCTGCTTTCAGTTTGATTTAGCTATACTTTTACATTAACTGAACTTATATTAATATATAATTTTATATTATATTAGTAGAAATGTGAAACAATGCATAGGAAATCTTAATTATTCCTAGAGTAGTAAGATCATAATGAGGGCCAAATAAGTTAATTATCAGGGTCTCATTTTATTCACGCATTTTATCCTATTCACAGTAACCCTCTGTTATGTTAAAAAGAGACATGAAGCTATTGATTTAACTGGTAATTTTTGACTACTGAAAGATGTTCCAGATGGAGACAAAGCACATAGAACAAAATGTCCATGGAACTTTAGATCAGGTCTATGGCCTAAATACAGCCCATTGGCTATTTTTGGATGACCTGCATGCTAAGAGTGCTTTCAACATTTTTATATGTAATATGTAAACAAGACTCCTAGCCTTGTCATGAGAAGAGATGCTCAACTTTGTCTGTTGGCTTACAAACCCTAAAATACTGACTCTCTGTCGTTTTCCAGAAAAGTCTTCTGACCCTGCTGCAGGCCATGGGTATATGGATCTTTATAGCCAATTCTTTCAACTTTTCTGTATGTGTGAAAATATTTTTAATATCATGTTGGGGAAAGGAGATGCTCAATATTTTCTAATAACACACCTCTGGGGGGATTTAAAGATGTTTGAATCGATGACAACCTCCTTTTTTCCAACGATTCCTGTCCTCTTGTGTTAAAAAGGACTTTGACTACTGGTAGAGTTGTCTTGCTCCATTTTCAGACCTGCCACATTTTGTAAGTGCCAAATAATGGCTTTCTTCCTAAAGGTGCACATGAATTTGCCTAATGCTTTTAGAATTCAACTGGGTGCCAATCTCAGTGACAAACTTCATATGTTGGAAAATTGTATTCTTTAGGATACAGAAGCATCACCAGTAAGTAGGTAAAGAACTTTTTACCTGAATGGCTGGAATGGAGTGAATGTTTACTGCTGAGCTACTAATTTAGAAACTTGCAATTATAAATTAGTTAAGACACCAAGCAAATCAGCCAATAAAATTCATGGTCAATTTCCATTCTCCCACTGTATAATATCAATACATACTGAGACAATGTTATCTCTTGTTGGTGTTAGGACATTTATGTTACTTCAAAGTGCCTCCAGGTAGGCATCGTTCTGCCAAGGAATCAATTTCTCAAAAGGTGTTACAGTCCTTTTCAACCTTAGCATTCAGTGGACTCACCTAAAGAATTAAGAACCCCAGAGATGTGATGTAATTGGTTTGAGGTATATACTGGACCTGAGGATTTTTACAGCCTTCCTAGGTTATTCTAAAATGCAGCCCAGGTAGAAAAGCACTCACTGCTCTGTTCCAAAAAAGAGCAGTACAGGTATTCCTAATTTCTCAATAGTTAAGGGACCACCCTCTTCAGCATCATGTCACCTTTGGCAATTTGGAGAGGGTCATAAAGTGAACTAATCCTCAAAAATTTTTTAAAGATTTTATTCATTTCTCTTTAGAGGGGAAGAGAAGGGGAGAGGGAGAGAAACATCAATGTGTGGTTGCCTCTCGTGCGTCCCCCTACTGGGAGCTGGCCTGCAACCCAGGCATATACCCTGACTGGGAATCGAACCTCAACCGTCTGGTTCACAGGCCTGTGCTCAATCCACTGAGCTATACCAGCCAGGGTTAATCCTCAAAATTTTAAAGGGATGTGAATGGACCATTTTCATCTCAGAATTGACACAGGTCTGTCTTTTATTTTCAGGGGAAAGATCGAGAGCAAGTGTGCAGGCATGTGTGCGCAAAGAACTCAAGATGGTCCTTCCCACAGAAAATGAGTGAGGTGTTCTGGTGACACAATAAGATGGTATTTCTTGCCCTAGCTTTTAACTAATAGCAGACAAACTAGCCGTGGTTATACTGGCCTTCACTTAGTAGTACTTGGCCTATTTGAGCCTGTGCTTTGGGTATCTGTGATCTGTTTATTTAAGGAATGTTTTATTATGCCTGCCACAATCCTGCCCTTTTGTGTTCCTTGAATAAAATTATCTCGAATTTTTTGTCCGTTGGTTAATGTGGATTTGGACCCTAGGGGAGAGTTTAAAAGCATAATACCATTTAGAAAATTACAAGTATCTCAATTACCTGAGCCTCCGCCAGCCATGACATGTGGTGAATTGAACAATGTTAATAGGTATTTTGTAATTCTCTAAAATGATTTTATAAAATTGTCATGATCAAATTGGGGACTAAAGAAAGCAAATTCATTCCCAGTAAATGCCAAAATCCAATCACTTGCTTTCATTTGAATAGAGACCAAGTCAAGCAAGGCTTTAATGAGATGAACTTCAGCAGATTTGTGACTCAGTAGGGTTAACTTTAAACCCTTTCTGGTAAACAAATATCTGTGAGAGTGTTCAGGTTTTGTAATGAAAGACCAACTCAGAGTAAGTTCTAAGAGGACAGGATTTCTTACACACATAATAGTGGTTCTGATAATGAAGCAAACAAAATAGAAAGTGGGCCCCCCTTGCCTGGTCCTCTCTAAATCCCCAAGTCTAAGAACAAGTGTTCACTTGTAAATTGCTTTAGACAGCTTAGACAAGAGTATTGCCTACATAGAAAACCATTCTCTAAATTTGCATTTAAAAAATGTTTCCAAAGGAATCTTCATTCTAAGTAATCAAATGCTTCAGAGGCAAATTCTGGGGAGAACAAGCAATTTTTAAATGTGCACAAGCTCAGTATGGTCACTGTTTGTCTGACACTGCACCCCCTATGTAGCAGCTTCAAGAAGATCTGCTCAAACAACTCCAGGCACATTTTCTAAGTATCGCAGCGAGTATCTTTGCTAAAACCAAGGAGAGGGGCCATATCACAATTTGAGAGAAGTCATTGTACATAGTTAGTTGGTCTTGACTAGGAGGAGGTTCTCTTTATCCAGGAACTATATATTGACATGTCCTTTTTACTCTGCCCCTTCTCTCCAAAATCTTAGGGTAGGTACTGTACCCTTAGGTTGCAAGTTTCAAGCTCTACTATAGTAATGAAAATGTTGGTGTTACTGAGTCATAGTAACCAAAATTTAATTATAAAACCTCTACTGGGTTTCTGATACTTTAGAAGAGTATTGTGAACTCTTTTACGAATGCAGAAATGGGTGGTATATAGTATATGTGGTTAACAGCATATGAATAAAACAAACACCCATGTACCCCCAGCCCTGGGTAAGAATGTGGGCCTTTGAAAGCCCTGCGTCAGCTTCTTCAGTAGAACCTCCTTCCTCCCCAACTCTGAACACCTCCCTGCCTTGCTTTATAGCTTTGGTACATGTGTTTATCACTAAAGATGTACTAAAGTATGCTGTTACATCAATAGACGTAACAGCATACTTTATATATTTTTTGTGACTTAGTTCTGTATCTTGACCTCACTTTTTTGCATTTCATCCCCATCAATATGTTCCTTGCACTTTGTCACATAGGAAGCTTAATGCTGAGCATTTTAGCCCTTTTCTGAAAGGTTGCACAAAGAAAGATGCCTGCCCACTTCAGATAAAGACGAAGTTCGGACAGCCCCTCCCACATAGAGCTCAGATTCCAGCTCCCTGTCTGCAGGATCATAAGCTAAGCCTGGCATGTCTGCTTCATGGAAGGGGAAGATGGCAGTGCCCATCACACCTTTCAGGACTGCTTTAAACTTCTTGCCAATTCCCCATTGGCCATCTCTTTATTTTGACAAGGTGGCTTGAATCAGAAAATGCATACCGTTGGCAGCAGGATCCCAAACTGAGATGCCAACAACAATCTGTTCCTTTTAACATCCAGGGTGCCTTACATCTTAGGTATCAAATAAAATACAGTCAGTTCTGCCATAACATTTGTTTGGAAAACACAAATTTGTTCCAATACGTTTCAGGCATTAGGGAAGAACTTGAGCATAACAAATTTCGCGTCTGTTTATGCACAATTTCATCTGGGAGAAACACGGCATGAACACAAAAAACAGCACCAGCTGAACCCAGCCGTGCAGAAATGCGCAAAACGCACACAGGCACGTGCCTCAAACACCTACCAGGTCACATGTGCACTAGGGAGCATGCATGTATTCCTTAACCATTAAACACATGCAAAATGGTGCTACTGTTTTTATCAGGCTCCTCTTTTTCCATGTGTCGCCAACGAAGTTTCTGAGGGCTGTGCGCCTAAACCCACTTCGCCAGCAGCTCCATGTTCATAGTATGCGATAGTGCATAGCATTGGGACTGTGAAGAATGCAGACCATGTTAGGGCAGAACTGGCTATATTAAAGAAATGGGATGGTATTGCAGCTTGTTTTTTGGGTTCCTGAAGCAATATGTTAACATAAACCATCAAACAGTCAGTGTGATACATTGTCTTTTTTTTTTTGTATTGTTCCTGGAACAAGACATGTTAAGCTTTTCTTTTGACAATCTTTTAATTGCTCCAGCCCTTTCCATGAACTGCCTGGGCCAGCAGCAGTGTTGGCAGCACCAACGAAGAGTGTGGGTGCAGGGAATGAGGAGCAGCATGCATCTGTCACGATAATCACTCACTTCTTGAAACTTACCATCTCCACTGCCTCTGGGCGTGGCTGAGGCACCAACCCAAAGAGAACTGAACTGAGTGCTTACAGTGATCACAGTGATCATGTAATAAAGAGTTGTTTCTGGCTAAAATGTTCACTGTCTGGGATTTTCAAGAATTAGGTCAATTACTGCTGTTCTACCAAGAGATCATCCTAGGTTTCAAGTCTAGTCTCAGGCATTCCTTCTGATTGATGAGGTCACTTCCCTCATACATTGGTTACATGAAAGTGCTGAAAATATAAGAACTCTGAACTCATGGGGGTGCATCCACAGCACATGCCTTGAATGTGGAATTAAGTTTTCTAAACATTGCTATTGCCTTGTCACCACAAGATCAAATCATGGCAACAAACTTCCACTATTGTCTATTACCAGATTACATCATAGATGTACTTATGAATTACTAAAGTGCCACACGTATGTGTGTGGTTAATGAATTCTGACTCCACAGGCTTTGAGGGTTATGCGTGGTTTGCAAAGACAAGACTTTAATCATCTGAGAAGCACTAGAGCCTAAATCTTGAATATAGAGCATAAACCCTGAGCACAAGTCCCAACTGATAAGCTTAGTGACCTAGGGCAAGTTACTTAACCTCTGTGCAATTCAGCTCCTCAACTATCCAATAAAGAATAGTAGTACCTACCTTATAGGTTCATTATGGGGACTAAATGAGTTAAGAGATGTCAAATGCTTGGGACTGTGCTTGGCCCATAAGTACTACGAAGTATTTGCTGTTCTCATCATGGGTACAGTAGAAATTCAGCCAGCACTCACCTCCGGTATACCAGAGCCACAGGCGTAGGGCGCAAAGACGCGTACCAGGGAGACAGCCAAGAATGCAAACAGCAAGGCCCACAGGATGTACAATAGGTAATTCAGAATGTAAGCACTGGCACCCTGAACAACAGACACAAAAGAAGAGAGACCTGATGAGCCACAGCAGACTGACAGTCCTGCTGTCCAGTGTGACAGCAGAAGCACTGACCAGATCGGGTAGCTTCTGTTCAGGTCCCGTGTCAGTAAAAGGCAGTGTTGCTTTTATCGGCTCTTGCTGCTGCCATACTTGCACCCACAGACACAGCCAGGGCTTCTCCACAAGCAGTTTACACAAGCTTTCCACCGGGGGATATCTCAATGTCCATAGAAACTAGGAAGGAGACTTACTTTTAATCACCATTTGCGCTAGAGTTAATAAAAGGTGTAATGCAGAAAATTCTGTATTCGAGCCCCTAGAAGGTTTGTTTTGTCCTGTCTACAGTGGATCAGCCTCCCTTTGCTTTCACTGAGGCCACAGCCACGGCACCCACAGTGCCAGTGACTATGAGAACTGCTGCTTAAATGTGTGCCTTGGACCCCTGGTGGTCAGCACCCCTGTGTCCCTTTGCAGGATAGAAATACAGAGTCCCAGGACCTGCCCCAGAGCTGCTAAATGAGACATTCCAGAACAGGTGACTGGCAAAGTATCTTAGCAAGCTCTCCAGAAGGTTCAGATACATTCTAATGCTAGAGAGGCACTTCTGCAGGGGAAGTTTGATCATCAGTCAAAATGAGTCATTGAACCACTTCTTCCAAATTGTCTGATGTGTGGAGAAAGCTTTCTCAAGCAAACACACAGTTTGGGCTTCCTGGCACTGAGGACCTGGTCCACTGGATGGAGGCCACATTTCCTTCCAGTGAGCAGGAGGGAAAGCAAGGTCACCTGCAAGTCAGGCCATGGACACAGCCACATGTGTGCCTATTAAATGCAGAAACACATTCCAGGAGACTGCTCAGCCTTTACAGTCACATACATTCACACCTATGTGGTGGGAAAGCAGACCGAGGAACACATGTCACCCACTTAAAAATGTACCTTTTTCAGTCTAAAAATAACTTCTCACTCTTGCTAACAGTAATTCTTTGAATCAAAATATAAATCTTAAATCTCTATAGTATAAAACTATAAAATGACTGAAAAGATGGACGGCCATATTCCACCCCCCCAAAAAAAACATATTGCAAGTAGGAGAGAAAAAATAAAATAGGGCTGAGAATTCCACTGCCATCAACCCAAGAGAATTTATTTTGGAAGCAATGGCGAGCACTGAGAATGTGTGAGATTTCAAGATCCTGTCTACTTCTGAGAGTTGAACAAATTAATTTGCAGTTCTCCAAGAACAAGTTTAGCAAAAACAGCAAAGGGCATTGCAAATGTCTTCAGCTGAACTAAGTCTATCAGGCACAAAAAGTGGGGGCAAGCCCTGGTTTGTGTGGCTCAGTAGCCTGCGCACTGGCCTGCAAGCTAAAAAGTGGGGACAGGAGGAAATAAAAAATAGGTTACATCTTCCATGAATAGATGAATGAATATGAATCTTGGCAACTTAGCTCCCCCTCACCAGGGTTTCTAATCTATTAGTGACCCATAGTCATTGTTACAATTACTACATTTGGTGAAACATTAACTATCTTCCCAAACTAAGATTTTGAATCAGATCTGAAGCTTCCGGTGCCACGAATGCCAGCTCCCGGTCTGTGGTTCACCACTACATCCTGTGCCCAGACATCCCCGCCATAGAAGACCCAGAAACATCCTATGCCACCTACTCATAAAATGTATTGAGAGATAACTTAAAGCACAATGAGATTCCACTTCACACCTGCCAAGATGTTTAGAATCAAGACCAGATAATAACAGGTATGGGTAAGGATGTGAACAATTTGGACTCTTCATACATTGTGGGTGTGAGTGAAATGGTCCAGTCACTTTGAAAACCAGTCTTGTAGTTCCTCAAAAGTTAAACATAGAGTTTCCATATGACCCAGGAATTGTCCTAATACAGGGGCATCCAACTCATTTTCACCAGGGGCCACATCAGCCTCGTGGTTGCCTTCAAGGGGCTGAATGTAACTTTAGGACTGTATACATGTCACATCTCCTTATCTAGGGACAAGGAGCTCGGCACTGCCGCCGGGTAGAAAGAAGGTGCTGGGCCGGATAAAAGAACGTGGAGGGCTGGATTCAGCCTGCGGGCCTTGGGTTTGCCACCTGTGTCCTAGTAGATATATGCCCAAGAGAAATGGAAACAAGTCCATACAAAAACTTATACACAAATGTTCAAAACAAAACCATTCATAATAGAGTGAAAGTGAAAGCAACCCATGTTTATCAGCTGATGCACAGAAAAATAAAAAGTGGTCTTCCCAAACAATGGAATGTTATTAAGCCATGAAAAGGAACAGAGTACCAAAGCTGTTATTTTTTAAAGATCGTATCTTATTCCTTAGTTTGAAAGTATAAAAATCAAACGTATTTCTTCAGGAAACTATGCTTAGTAAGAAAAAAAACCAAACACAAGACTTTTATAAATATATACAAGTCTTGTGCACATAAAACAGTAGGGCAGCATTTTTCAACTGAATCTTGAACACTAGAGCTAGAAAAAGTGAAGTTGTACCAGTATGAAGCTGTGGGTGATCCACAGAATAGACACTTGAGGGTGAAAGTGCAGACATTCACCCAGTGCCTAGCTGTGCCCCAAAGCACCTGTTGGACTGCAGGCATTTCCAGTCAAGGCCCTGCCCAGAAACCCACCTCTGACTGATTCACCAATAGCTCTGACCATTTCTGCCACAGGGGACACTTGTCCCTGTCCTCAAAAGTGGTCTCGGTGGAAGTCCAACAGCATTGCTCATGGCTGTACCAGAAGGCAGACAGACAGATTCCCTCCTTCAAGTCGGTCATCCAGTCGACAGCGAGATCGATGACCCCAGCCAAGGTACCTGCAAGAGACAGCAAGAGCCACCTAGAGGGATTGCCACACAGCATGGGGCCAGTGCAGGAGCACATCAGCCAGGAAGGCCACACGCCAGAGAAGGACATGAACATGCCCCCGGTTGCCATACATATAGGAAGTTTCTTAATTAGCCATGAAGTCCCTTGAGTATTTAGGATGTGGGCAAGGCAGTGCCCAGCCCAATGAGACACAAAGGCCAATGATATGTGGTTTTTGCATGCCTTTAACCATGCAGTAGAGGAAAACATGCAGATCTTCACTCATCACAAGCCACTGGGGCCAAGCAGCTTGCAGAAGATATCTCTTACAAATTTTAGGAATAGAGTATGTATACCCTACAAAGTATGTAACCCCATAGCAGCTTCTGGGGCACAATGCTGGGATCATACATATTAACAATTCTCAGGAAAATGTGACAAAATTGAGGCATGATGACTGACAGCCTCATTATTTAAGTAAGGTTTGGCCACCAAATGGGAACTAAACTTGGAAAAATCTCACTTATTAGAACTCTATGAATTTTTTAAATTATTGTATAAGGGATTGTGGGTCTACTTTAAAGGTTGAGAGAAGTAGGATATAATAGACTATACAGTAGGCCACAAAGGGCTACCTTGCATCTCTTTCTAAAATAAGCCACTCTAGTCTTTTATGATGGCAAGGACACTCTCAGCCTACTAAATTTTCCAAACTTTTAATATCACTTCCCCACCTGTATCAGCACCAAAGCCATCCATATACCTGCATCAGGGCTCACCCCTCCCTGTTCTTCCCATTACATTAAAGCTACATGTTGTTCTTAGGAGTGTGAATTCTCAACAGGTCACAGACTTGAACAGCTGGTCTATTTTACCTCGCCAGCCTCATTGCTTTCCATCACTAATTCTCATACATACCCACTCCATGTTCGTGGAGCCCTGCAGCTCTATTCTTTACACCATCTCAGGCAGCACTGCAATCTCTTGTTTATCTTCATTTACATCACCTCCTTCAGGAAGCCTTCCCTGATTTCCAAATTTGAGCTACGTATACTTCCCAGGTATTCACCTATCACCATATCTATCATATCCTGATACCATGGTATTATATATGTAATATCTATCTAATATATAATATCATTATTAAATATATGTGTATATATCAAAGACATATCTCATGTTATTGAGCTTAGCTTATTGCACTTGACAGATGTTGCATATTTTGCAAATTGAAGACAAGACCCTCTTCCAGCATAAAGGGTATGCCCTGCTTTTATTGTGATTCTTGCTTTATTGTGATACTTGTTTTATTGCCATATTTGCTTTATTGTAGTAGTCTGGAACTGAATCCACATTATCTCTGAGGTATGCCTGTTTACTCTACTAGTGTCTAAGTTGGGGTCGAGGAAGATTTTATTGTCTGATTTGCATGCCACAGTGGGGATCAGGCCAGACACCCATGCCCTGTGTCCATTCTAAGTGGACAAAGGCCATGTACCTTGTCCATTGTTGTGTGCCTTCAGGTACACGGTTAGAAAGATTTATCCATTTTGAGTGAAGGAGTGTAATAAGTGAATGAACATCAGAAAACTCAGGCCCATCAGTTTACTCCAGCCATCAGCTGAGCATCTAGTTACTATATACCAGTCACTATGTCATGCCCTGAGCACACAGTAGTGACAAAGCTGACTCAGGTCCCTGCTTTCATGGATGGAGAAAGAAATACTAAACAAAATAAGTAAGTAAATCAAGAATTCTGTTTGAAGGTGATTAGTAGTGGAGATAAAAATAAAAGGGTGGGCAAAAGTAGATTTACATAATCCAAATAAATTATTAATAAGTAATAAATAAATGATAATAGCAGAATAAACTCTGTGTTTGGTATACTCACAACTGTAAACCTACTTTTGCCTACACCTGTATAGCACACTACAGTGCTGTAGATGCTTTGAAAAATACTGTGGAAGTTGCTCAAAAAGTTAAACATACCATCTGATCAATCAGTTCTACTCTAGGTGTACACACCAAGACTTGCACACAAATGTTCACAGCAGCACAACATCAAAAAGTAGAAGCAACCCATATGTCCATCAATTGCTGAATGGAAAAACAAAATGTGTTATATTCATACAACAGAATAGTGTTTGGCAACAAAAAGGAGTGGAGTACGGTACACCGTGGATAAACCCTAAGAACATTATGCTGAGTAAATGAAATCTGATCACAAAAGACTAAATATTGTATGATTCCATTTCCATGTAATATCCAGAGTTGGCAAACCATAGAGAGACAGAAAATAGACAGGTGGTTGCCAGGGGCAGGGAGGAGCCTGGGGACACTGGAGCTTCAGAGCTAAACAGTATGGAGGTTCTTTGACTGTGATCAAAATGTCGTAACATTGATTGTGGTGATGGCTGTACAACTCTGAATACACTAAAAACCACTGAATTGTATACTCAAACTGTATGAATTATATGGTATGTAAATTATACCCCAATAAAGCTGTTACATACATACTCACAACACATACATCCAGTGGGCAAGGGGGATGAGGCTCCGACAAAGAGAGGTGTACTTCTAGAAAAGGTGATCAGGGAACACCTCAAGTCAAAGATGGCAATTGAACAAAGAACTAAAAGAAGGTGAGGGTACGGTCCTGCTGATAGCCAGGGACCAGATACCCCAAATTCCACCACCATTCATTCATTTGTCATCACATTATCCTGCACCTAATCTTCCTGGCTGACTCCGCTTCTCACAGTGCTGGGAGTTTTAGCTCCCTTCTAAATATGAAATAACTACGATGCCCTGTGATGAATTCTGATAGACGCTTCGTTTGTGAAGCAGCAGCGACACCCAGTGGTTACTTTTAATAAATCCTTCATTAATGCTTTCATTTGTGGAGCAACACTGACACCCAGTGGTGAGTTACAATAAATGCTTCGTTCATGTTTCAGTGAAATGTCGTTTGGTGGAGCAATAGCGACACCCAGCGACAAGTTCTCATAAATGTTCTACAGAGGAGACCCTTTTCAGACCTCTCCACCTCAGGAGTCAAAATATAATGTCTGGGGCACTACTGGGGAATGGGAAAGTCGATGGGGTGCACTTTGCTGACTTTCCCTTCAAGCTACGTATATTCAGGTCCAAGGAACACTTTGGCCACCTTCACTGTTAGTATCCTGTCACTCTTGCCTTCCTGTTATACTCATTTGCTGATGTATTCAGGGGCTAGCCTTTCTCCAGTGGGTTCTTACCCAAGCTGCACATTATAATCACAGGTGGAGGAGAAGAGGAAAACGTGGGGTTCTGTTCTCAGTGCTAAGACATCATCTCCAAACATACTATCTGAAGCCTCAGGGAGCATTATTTTTTTTTTAATTCCCCAGGTGATTCTTCTTAAGAGAAGTGACAGAAATAAGGTTGATAGTGAAGCCAACTGGTTAATATCAGGTTAAAGACAGCCCAATCAGACTCTTAGACTAGTCAATAAATCTACACTGTGCTGTTTGCTCCAGCAGGATGGCACAAAATCTATTCTGGATTTCTTCATTTCTCTATCCGTGTCTCCTTCCTAGGAGCCAAAGACAATGATACAGTGGATGGTTTTATAACTCTATTCTAAATAGGGGAGTTTTATAAAGGGTATGTCTTCATAATTCATAGCCAATTCATGCCCTGCCTACTTTCAAAATTCATAACCAACTTGCACCCTGCCTACCTTCAAAGGTCTTCAGAGAAGCAGTCAAACAAATTGGTGGCAAGACACTATATATCCATAAAACTGAATTTCCCTTCCAACACTGCTGCCATTATGTACTGGGAATGCCACTGGGAGAGGACAGACTGGGAGCAATGAACGAACAGCTCCTGTGACTAGAAGGAAAGCAGTCCCCCTTAAGCGTTCCTCTTGGCTTTTTGTGACGTGCTAAAGCCGATGGTGCCCCTCCTACAATTGTATATGGAAGAAATAAAGAAGCACCTAGAAATTGAAATTCTCAGTAATCACAAAATCTATATCTGTGCTCCATTAGCATTCTGTCTTTCTTAGAGCATTTGCTATATTCTGCCTGTATTACAGTAACTGGTCAATCCTATAACCATAACCCTTACGTCATTATAGGTAAGGGGTTATGAAGGGTATGTGTTTAGCATGCTCAAATTCTTTATTGTAGGCATTAACATTCAAAACCTCCTAAAAGGAAGTAAGTTTCAGGAAAGAATTTCCATAGAAAGCTGGTGCATTAGATAGTAAAAGGGTAGGTTTCTCCTCCACGGATGCTACCATTCACTCTGGAAACATGGTGTTAGGATTATAAAAATGAAGGATACAGAGGTCCTGAGGGTCAGAACAACATGTGGGCTGGACATACCTCCAGCTCCTAAGGTGTCTTACATTATTTTCAGTGTCTTGGGATGTTCACAATTCATTCCAGGGCCTGCCAGTATTAGTAAAGGCCAGCCTCACATTTTATCATTAGAGAGAAAAATTTCTCCATACTTTCTTGCCTTCTACATAGCCAAATAGTATAGAATGTAAAATGTGTGCTTTTCATGAAATCCAGTATGGCCCATAGACCTTCATACCTGTGTGGAAAGACTGGCCAGCTCCCAAATTACTGCTTTGCATTGACCACACTTGGGCCCTGCCTTCAGATCATGCCTTACAGATAACAGATTTTTTATTATTTTTTAAATGTATTTTTAGAGAGAGGAGAATGGAGGGAGAAAAAGGGAAAGGAACATTGATGTGCAAAAGAATATATCAATTGCTCATCTCTCGCACGCCCCCATCTAGGGACCTGGCCCGCAACCCAGGCATGTGCCCTGACTGGGACTCAAACCTGCAACCTTTCAATTCACAGGTCTGCACTCAATCCAGTGAGCCACACCAGCCAGCGCTGGGTTGGGAATTTTACATTAAATGTATGGTCATGTATTTTGCTGTCAAGCATTTCAAGCACTAAATTCCTTGCATGGAGTAAAAGAGACACACTCCCTCTTCAGTGTACCAACCCAAACAGCTAGCGCTTTGGGGCTCAGTAGCTCAGCTTTGCTCCTTCCACATACCTGCTAGCAGGCCGATGAGCAGCATGACCACCCATCCTGACCAGGCATCCAGCAGACCCTTGATGAACTCCCATACAGACTCTTTGCTTTTGCTGGTTATCTAGAAACAGAAAGACACTGTATCATCTGCATACATTTTCCAACTCAGGCTTCCTTGCCTGAAACCTTCCTCAGGAAACAAGGTGCTTGAGAAAACAAATGTCACTAACCAACCAATTTCCCACTGCATCCTTCTTTCAGTTACCTATCACAAGGATAAAATAGGCTTTCTAGTTGAAAATAGTCACTTACTTAAACTTATTAAATGTGATTTAATCCTATTCAAAAGCCATTTTAAAGGGAGACATCAATTCAGAGCCACCATTTTGAATAGAATTCTTATTTGAATTTACATCATAATGCCCCATTCACAAAACAACCTCCTTAACAAAGACATCACTAACTTCTTTTGTTTTCCACGTTCAATGTTAAACACAAGAACTCTGGATTCTCTAGCATGGATCACACTCACAAGGCAGGTGGATACATGTAAACACATTGCAAGAGCACCCATTTGCCTCCCTGTCTTAATAGAAGCCGACATTCTTCTGAGAGTCAGTATTTTCAGGCTGCCTCTCCCACAGCCCTTCCCTTCCTGAGATCCCAGCCTACCGATGACACAGGAACCTGAGTCCGATCTCAATAGCTGTCCGATGAAAGCAGGGGAGCCCCTTCGACATGTCTCTTAGGACTGCCACGTACCTTTCTGTGTCTGTCAGTGTCCCGTGACTTTTCCCTCAGCCAGTCAATGGTGTGGAAGTCCTCATATGTCCCCACATCAGGGAATGGCTCATCGAGAAAATCCATCAGGTTTCCAGAGCTGCTCATCACCCGTGCATGAAACCATGCTACTTACACCTGAGAGAGAAAACCTGTGGTTAAAACTGCAAGCAGGGTATCTGCACACACCCAGCAGAATAACCCACGTGTAGTATTTTCTCATATCAGGAAGAATTATTTCAGCACAGGCATGTGCTGAAATGTTGTAATGAAATACACACATGCACACACAGTCTGTCTTCGTCGATACAGGCTGCTATAACAAAAATACCCTAGATTGGGCAGCATGAAGAATGCTGTAGGTACTCCCGCACTGAGTTTCAGCACCATTGTAAACAGTGAAATCACCAATAAAAAGGCACAAAAATGTAAAACAGGTGGCACTAAATAGACTGTGAAGAGATGCTTGTTCACAGTGTGAAAGCTGAAACAAGACTGCAGAGTGCTGCCCTTCTTCAACCTCAGCTAGACATGTACATTGCTGGGGACTCAACCTTTTTGTCACTCTGATTGTATTAGGAAGTGGGGTCTCTGAAAGATGGTCAAGTCGTAAGGGCACAGTCCCATGAATGGGAATAGTGTCCTTATAAGAGAGACTCCAGGGACCTCCCTTGTTTGTCCTTTCCATCATATGAGGACACAGTGAGAAGTCTGTGACTGGGAAGAGGGTCCTCACCCAACCACGCCGGCACCTGGATCTCAGACTTCGAGCCTCCAGATCTGCGAGAAATAAATATCTGCTGTTTATCAACCACAAGCCTATGATATTTTCTTACAGTGGCCTGAATGGCCTAAGACAAGCCGAGGGCCATGCCAAGCAGGCGACACTGCCCTGGGCCAGGAGCTCTGGGTGCATGTGCTCAGTTTTCATTTTTCTTAAAATACAGTCAGAAAGGCTCTCGCTGCCAGGACAGTAGCAGAGTTGAGGGTTTACTCCTTTCCTGCATAACAATCCCTCTCCCACTATTCTGGCTCCTCTTCTCTGAGAAACAATTGCAAATAAACCAAGACATCAGCCATGTTCTACCACCATCAGAGCCTGATTACAAATCCCATCAGAGTTAATTTGCAAGAAAGAAAATGCTTTGCAGAAGGGCCAGTGCTTACCAGCAGTTAGCAGGGAAAATATCACACTCTTACAAAGACAAGAGGTTGGAATAAGCATTAAATAAAAATTCCTTTGGCAAGGAGTATGGAAATTTGAATTATAGGACGAGAACCACAAAAGTGCTGAATAAAGAGGTGAAGGGTAGTTATAAAAATATTTAAGTGCAGGCTTCTCTCATTGCTTTACTTATTTTTATATCTGGAGGGCTCAGCCACGACCTGATGAAACTGCATTTTAATCAAATTGAAAAGTCACTACGGGCAAAGTGGGGTAATCACCTTACAAGCAATAAAGTGGCTATAGTGATTGATTTATCGGCCATCTGCACGACTCAGCTGCCTTAAAACTTTAAAAGTTTGAGGTTTGAGCCATGCCAAGCTGAAACATACACCGGCTGATGAGTGCCCAGGGAAGAATCATGTTGCATAAGAAAGTAGCCTCCAATAATAAAAGGGAAAGAGTAAAATTAGAAAGCAAAGATTTCACTCTCATTTTTATAAAAACAAGATGGTAATAAGCCTCATATTATATGTGGTAAAGAAAATCTCTGATGGGAAAAAGAAGATGGCAGACCGTTGGCCCACAAAGGGTGGGCCTCCGGGAGAAAGACTCGGCCTGCAGATAGAAAAATTGCAGACTTGCACACTGTATCAAAAATGAGTTCATGTTACCTAAGATTCAACCAAATCTCTAGTGAAGCCACAACTCCAGGCAATAATGGTTGAAACAAAAACTCGCTCTGCACAAAAACGTCCGGCCCATACATGTGAATGGCGATTTTCAACGAGTGTGCCACAAGAATTTTTAAAACACGCAATAGCTGACGATTTAGTCCGCTGGGGGCACTGACCTCTTTTCCCCGAGTTTGTCAAATAAAAAAAATGACAACAGCTAACACAACAAAGCCGTCCGGTATGAATCAATGAAAATTACACCTATTTTTGTCAGATCAGCAGAAATAGAATATATTTTTTGGTGTGCTGCAGAATTTCAGTAATGAGTTTATGTGTGTGCAGAGTTGGCTTTGAGTATGCTGTTTCCTCCACCTGGGCCAGCTTTCCTGTCCTCTGTCTGAAAAGCTCCTATTCACCCTCGTGACTCTGACCTGTTTGACCCCATCTGTGGAATGTGCATTAACTTCTCCAGAGGGAGCTGGGGGCTTCCTCCCTGGCGACCCAAAAGCATGAAAACATGAATATGTCTGGCGTTTTAAATATCTTTTCCTGAAAACTCCTCAGAGTGTTTACATTATTACAGACTATTCTCTTTGTTCAAAAGAAATCCATCTAGTCATGACACAGAGGCCAAACGTTACTACCAGTCCCTTTCACCCCCTCAGGAACAAGCAAAGGTGTTTTAATTAATTAAAATTATTTGTCTCTGCCCCAGATACTGGTTAAGCCCATGGGACTTTGCAGAAATTTCAGAGCTATCCTCACTGCCAGCTCTTTACATCAGTCATGACAAAGCAGAAAATCACTAAAGATAATAAAAATAATAATCCTCTTTGCTGTTGGCAAAATTAAAACTTGGGATAGTCTCTCTGATAAGCCCACTCCTTCAAAAGTTATCATAAAACCTGTGACTCTTACTGACCATAACGCTTAGCAGTGGGCACCCAAAAGTGGGATTCAGAAGAGATCACTAAATATACACAAACATATATACAAAAAGCAAGTGGCAGGTAAGCTGTAGAATATGGTAGAAACCAGCCGAAGTCCATGGCCATGCTTGTCAATGGGAATTCACACCATAGCTGCTACAAAGGGTCTGATTTCTCCCTCCTCAGACCAAAGGAAGACAGACGTTAGGGAATTGGGGATTGAGTTGGGAAATCATCACAGGGCACATCTAAGGATCGAGTTCTCCATAGCCTCTGAGTTTGTCCTGTTTTCTGTAGAATTTAAGTTTTAGTAAGCACAAGGAGTAAATCTAACACATCCACCTTCTGCAGAAACTACTCTGAGCTACTCAAGCAGCCAAATGTGGGAGATAGGTCTGGGTTAGCCTATGGTAAGCATTTTAAGCATTTTTTTCTGCAAAAAAAATACACCCACCCAGATCAAAGAACGGAACATGAACGTCCCTAGAAGCCCTCTCGTGTCCCCTTCCAGGTCCTGCCCCACCCCTAAAGGTACCCACTATCCTGACCTTCACACCATGGACTGATTTTTCCTGTTTCTGAACTTCATATCAATGGAATGCTTTATTACCCTCTTCTTTTGTTCTACATTATTTAATAAGATCCATCCACATTGTTGAGTGTAATTATCATTTCTTTATTGTCTTGGCTCCTGTAACTGCAAATGCCTTCTATTTAGGGCCAGATAACAAATATTTGAAGATTTGTGGGCCACATGGCCTCTGTTGGAATGACCCAACTCTGCCATTGTCACATAAAAGCAGTCAGAGGCAATACACAAAGTCATGACTGGAGCTGTTTCAATAAAATTTGACTTATGGACACTGCCATTTAAATTTCATATAATCATGGGTCACAAAATCTTTCCGTTGTTTTGTAATCATTAAAAACTGTAAAAACCATTCATAGCTCAGGAGTCATATGGACTCGCCTGGGCCCCCAGGGTGATCAACTGTGGGAATAAACCCCTATGGGTTTCCCCATTATACCCCGGAGAGAAAGAGATTTGCATACCTTTCCACTTGGAACCATGCTATGTGGGCTGCCATCATTTGGCATTTTTTACACCCACTTGTATATGTGTCATTGTACGCTTTCCACCATCCCCTCCTCTCTTGGCCCAGCAGTGACCGGGTGCCAGTGTCCCTCTCCCAAACCAGACCATGTCGTCTTATCCTGCACCTTGCTCTCTTCACTGAGCCCCAGATGACTTGAGTAAATGGACTGGAAAGTCATAACTCAGATTAAAAGACTAAGTCTCCAATCAGCAAGGAAGACTGGTCACCACAGGGGTAAATGCCAGCAGATTCCTTTGCCACCAACATCTCCTCCTGGTTTGAGAAGCCTTTCCAAAAAGCTGTCCTCACCACCTTTCTCCTTTGGGGGCTGGCTATGTTTCCTGCAAAGAGCCAGACAGGAACTATTTTCCACTTTGTGGGCCATACGGTCTCTGTCATAATTATCCCACTCAGCCACGGGAGTGGAAAAGCAGCCCTAGACAAGGGGCAAATGGAGGCATGTGGCTGTGTGCCTGCGACACTGCATTTACAGAAACTCATGGTGGGGTGGGACTATGGTTCGACGGCCCCTGCCCCAGGCCAAGTGTGTATTGTTATCTGTGACCTGCCAGGCCCCACTCAAGAGACTAGAGCATGCCGCAGACCTACAACCCTCACCAAGCAACAGAAGCCAGCAAAGAAAGCCCCATGACCCACTGGGAGAAGGCCAGAGATAAGTAGGCACACTCGTCCCTCACAGAGGTACTAGCAGGAGGGATGATACCACAGAAATGCAACTAAAAGACCTCAGTCACAATGTGTCAACCTGGAAGCTTTGGGAAAATAAAAGGTAGTCGTGCACACACATGCACATGCACATGCATATACACACTTGCACATACATGTACACACAGTTTGAGGTCTGTATATCCTACAACCAGAAAAGTTTCTCCAATGAATTAGCTATTTAAATGCTGCAAGATCCTAGATACCCTTGGTTCATAAGTAAAAATATGACCGCACCATTGCTCTACTAAACTGTTCACAGCCCACAGAGCTGGAGGTCACCCACAGCACAAGGCACCATGAAAGGTTTGGACACAGGGAGGGGAGCACCTGAGAACACATAGTGCAGAGCCAGACCTTGGTTAAATTGCTGCTAAAGAAAAAAAAAAAAAACTTCCCAAAAGCTTCATTTCTCACAGGTTTGCCAGGAGCTCCAACAACAAATCACGAGCATAGTTTATAGACCCGCTTTCCTTGCAACCTACACGGACCATACACGGCATTGAGCTCAGGGGCTGACGTGTGCTGGCTGCCAGTTCCTGGG